AAATAGATAAACATTTCAATTAAAACATTACTGTTGTCAACTGGACTTTAAAATCATTATATAGAAAGGTGAAATTTAAAGGATAAAAAATAAATACTATGCAAACACTGCCCTGGCTGGCGTAGCTCAGTGGATTGAGCGCGGGCTGGGAACTAAAGTGTCCCAGGTTCGATTCCCAGCCAGGGTACATTCCTTGGTTGCAGGCCATAACCCCCAGCAACCGCACATTGATGTTTCTCTCTCTCTCTCTCGCTCTCTCTCTCTCTCTCTCTCTCCCTCCCTCCCTTCCCTCTCTAAAAATAAAATAAATAAAAATCTTAAAAAAAAATACTATGCAAACACTAATTCAAGGAAAGTTAGTATAGTCGTGCTTGGTTTAAAGTAGACTTTAACACAAGACGCACTCTCGAGATAAAAGGGGCGTTTTATGATGATAGAGAGTCAGCTTCTCGGGAAGACAGAACAGTTATAAATGTGTGCACATGTATCAACTCAGCTTCCTAATGCGTAAACACAGAACCAAAACGGACAAACCCACAAACGTGGTGGGGTATTCCAACGCAGCTCTCTCAATAACTTACAGAGGTAACGGACACAGAATTTAGTACAAATATAGAAAATTCAGACAAAATGATTCACAAACTCGACCCGACACAGCAATTACGGAATAGACAGTCTTTTCAACTACACGCAGGAAGCTCGCCCACACCGACGGTGGTGGGTGGAAGGATGGCCCCCCAAAGACCCGCCCGTCCGGATCCCCGGGAGCCTGTGAACATGTCACATCATGCAGCAGAGGGGCACGCTGTCACAGAAGGGACCGAGAAGTACAGATCAGCAGTTACAGACCAGTCACAGGGCTGTCAAGAGAAGCCTGGGGAATGTCGTCCATAGTATTGTGACATTATGTGCGGGGCCAGGTGGGGACAGGTAATATCAGGGGGAACACTTTGTAGGTGAAATAAATGTCTAACCGCTATGCAGTACACCTGAAGCTAATACAATATCAAATAGCAACTGTAATTGGAAAAATTTAAAAAGTAAGTATGGGGTAAAAAAAGGTTGCTAATCGGAACAACCCTGAGATGAGGAGATTAACCTGGGTTGTGTGGACGGGCCCAAAGTGTAACCGCACGTCCTTGGACGCAGAGGAGGGAGGTGGAGGCGTCCCCGTCAGAGGAGGCTAGAAGTCTTGAGATGTGGGACGAGGGAGGGAGACGGTTCCCCTGGAGCCTCCGGAGGGACAGAAGAATCCCGAGGGCACCTGGACATTAGCCCGGTGACACCCACTTCAGACTTCTGACTCCAGAAGTGTAAGATAACACATTCAGGCTGTTTTAAGTCACTGTTTTTCCCATCTCCGCGACTCGCAGCTGATTGCCATTGCTAGCTGATTCCAGGGTAGCCACTGTCAGCCGCTGTGAACGGCAGGAGCCATGCGTGGCAGGGTGTCGCTGGAGCACAGGCTGAGTCTTGGGGACCGACCGGGGCTGAGTCTGAAGAAGTAGGGCAGGACCCTGTCCACCTCAAGGTTTCGCTCACACGTTCATTCACGAAACACTGACCAAGCACCGATTCTCTGCGGGATCCGGCATGGACCCCAGGGATGTAGAAATGAACAGGACAGAGCCCTTCCTCTCGGGGAGCTACCGGGAGAGGACAGAGAATTACACTCAGCGAGGCCCATTAGAAAGTGGTCGCAGTAATACAGGTGGGATCGTGGTACTGTGTCCATGTGGGGGCCATGAACGTGACCAGAGGGGCTGTAATCAGGACAGAGTCACAACGAAGAGTCAGAACAGGCGGATTTGTAAATGACTGGAGGAGGGTCATGGTGGAGAAAGTTGGAGGGTGAGACCCTGGTTTCTGGTGGAGGCTCCTGGGTGGGTGGGGTACCCACTCACGGTGGTGGGAAATGCAGGGAGAGCGGGTTGGAGGGAGATGATCAGTTCTGCTTGGGACATGCAAAGTCTGAAGGGCTTCTGGAACATTCTGGTGGAGATGCCAGAAGGCAGTTGGACACATGGGTTTGAAGCTCCAGTAAGAGGTCTGATCTGGAGAGAGAAATACCAGCGCTGTCAGAATCTAGGGCATTGATAGGGAACCGAGGAGCGGATGAGGTCCCCGAGGGACAGTGCTTAAGGCAGCAGTTCTCAACAAGGTGTGTGTGGGGGGGGTGGGGGGGGGCGGGCACAGCTCCCGGGGAGAGTATCTGGAATCACCAGAGGGGGCTTTTGTTGTTTTAAAGATTTTAGAGACCGGGGAAGGGAGGGAGAAACAGAGGGGGCGAAACATCGATGGGTGAGAGAAACATTGACCGGCTGTTTCTTGCACACCCCCATCAGGGGACCTGGCCCGCTACCCAGGCGTGTGCCTTGACTGGGCATCGGAGCGTAACCTTTCAGCCCCATGGAGCCACACCGGCCAAGGCTCCGGGGGGGGCTTTTCCAAAATACACATCCAACCCTCGATTCCAGTAAATGCCCAGGAAGTGCAACCAAGGGGAGTTTTCACTGATGAGAAGGTGACCTCGGGCAGGAAGAATTTCGAGACGATTGGTGAGAAGGAAGAAGGCCAAGGCAGGCACAGAGAGCAGAGGAAGAAAGGCCCAAGAAAGCCAGTAAGGAAGAGTCTCGAGGAGATCCGGGACAGTGAGGCGCCCCCACATTAGGACAGAGCAGCGACTCCCAGCTGTGAGCGTGTGCAGGGTGCTTGTGAAAAATGCAGATTCCTGCCCCTAACCATTCTGGTGTTCTGGGGCCCTGGAACCTGCATTGTAAAGAGTTCTGGCCATGGCCAGGTGGCTCAGTTGGTTGGAGTGTCGCCCTGTACACCAAAAGGTTGCGGGTTTGATTCCCGGTCAGGGCACATACCTGGGTTTTGGATGCAACCCCCGGTTGGGGTGTGTATGGGAGGCAACCAATCAATGTTTCTCTCTCACATCAATGTTTCTGTCCCTCTCTTTCTCTCTCTCCCTTCCTGTCTCTCTGAAATCAATAATCAAAAAATACATAGCCTTGGGTGAGGATTAAAAAATACTTTATTTTTAAAAAAGAATTCTGAAGGCACTACCTCTGGGGTACAGAATTTCAAGAAGAGGGGTGTGGTCCAGGAAGATAAAGCCTAAATTGGTCTATCGGATCCCACTCTTCAGGGGGTCATTGGTAACCATGGGAGAGAGAATTCTGGCGGCGGCGTGGGAGTGGAAGCCAGATTGCAGTGGGCTGAACAGTGAATGGGAGGTGAGAAAAGGGAGACAGCAAATGCGGACCCCCTTCAGAGAAATGTGGATGAGAGGCGGAGGCAAGAGCTCCGTCCCCCTCAAAGGCCACCTTCCATCTCCTGCAGAAAGTTGGCAAAGAGATTTCCGGCAATGTGGAAGATGAGTCAGACACCCCCAGACCCTCAGGATGCTGGGGGGGCGGGCCTGGCACACCTCTAGCTGCTAAACCCACTGCGCCTGCCTTCTGTCCACCCACTCCAAGTCCAGGCCACTGTTGTCACCACCCAAGTGGTCCTTCCACAGCCCGAGTCCAGCCGTGTCACTGCTAGCCTCGAAACCGTCCGACGGCTGCTGTCCCCAACTCTCACCTCCTCCCAGGGAACACCCGAATCCCTGAACCTGGCATTCAAAACCCCTCTGACTTTTTAAAAATCCTCACTGACTGGGGGATATGTTTATTGATTGTAGAGAGAGAAGAAGGAGAAGAGAGAAAGAGGGACATTGATTGGTCGCCTCCCGTATGCGCCCCACACCAGGGATCCAAACTGCAACCTAGGTGTGTGCTCTGACTGGGCATTGAACCAGCAACCTTTTGGTGTACGGGATGACACCCCAGCTAACTGAGCCACCAGGCGAGGGCCCTTCCGACTTCTGCGTCCCCACGTCACTCTGCATCTCACCTCTCCTCTCTCACCATCACTCCCCGTTTGAACCACATTCACCCTCCACGCAGGCCTGGAGGAGCCAAGAAGTTCCCCGGGGAACTGTGCTCCCCACCCTCGTTCGCTCGCTGGTCCTGTGCAGACTCAGCCAACCCAGGCACCACCTTTTCTGAGAGTTAGTTCCTCCCTCCTTGGAGAGAACCAGCACCGTGCCCACTCCTCTTCCAGCACGCAGGGAGAATGAATTATTCTGTATCTCTTTTGTTGACACAGCAGTCCCCTCACTGGGCTGTGCCTTGTCTGGGACCAAGGTCCTCATCTTACTCCTCTCTGCATCTCCAGAGCCTGGTGGGGGCCGACGGCCCAGTAGGTGCTGGCGAATGTGAAACGAGGTTTCACTTGAGTACCCACCGTGAGAAAGTAAATATTTAAATGGTCAGTACTCCCACTGAACCTTTGGCCCACCAATCAAATACCTGAATCTGCAGGTTCTTGTCCCTTCCCGAGTTGTATTAATACCCTCAGATTGATTTCCCCTCCTAAGGGGAAGAAAGGCAGGCTGTGGACAACGGGTCGTGAATGAGATGGTGCGAGGTCGCCTAGGGGCTAGGGTTAGGCAGCTACAGGAGGGTGTGCTCCAGTGAAAATATTTAGTTCGTTCTCAAGGAGCTGTACCTTGATTCTCTCCTTTAACAAGTTACTTAGCCTCTTTATACCGTAGTTCGGGTGGGGTTACGAATCCTATTACCTGAAAGAGTTGCGGTATTATTGTAATGCCCTACAAAATGCTAGTTATTGTTAGGTTTTCGAGATCCTAACAAAGTAGCACCTCAGGGTTCACGCCACCAACAAAATGCATCTGTTACTTCAAATGATTAGAAGAAATTCCCAAGGCAATACCGCTCTTAAAAGTTTGTTTGTCTAAAACCACAACTTCTGTTTGTCCCTGGCTCCTCAGGCCCACTTAAGACGACTATAAACGAAGCCCCGCCCCCTGGTCCCTAAGCCACGCCCCTTTCCGCACCAACCTCGACGTTGTAGGGCCCTTCAATATTGAAGGACATTTCTATTCACCAATAAGAAGTGAAATTTTTGTCAACGTCCGGTGAGGGGTAGGACTTCCTTGCTGTTGCTAAGACACTCTTGTTTTGCTTCTTGACAACCCTGGCGGGGGCGAGCTAGCAGCGGTCCGAGCTCCAGCCCCCGCGGGAGCAGGTGAGGCCCCGGGGCTCGGCGGGCAGCCGGGTGGGGAGGGCCGGCCCGAAGGGGAGCCGGGAAACGCCGCGGGGCTGGCAGAGCCTCGCCCACCGCGGAGGCCCCACCCCAGTCTCCTCCCTGCTGGTCCCCAGCCCCCGGTCCTCCCAACCCCCATCCTCCCACTTAGGAGACCTACGAGCTCCGGGGTGACCGATTCGGGGTCTCAATTCGGCATGCCGCTTCTGCCCCCCTCCTCTGTCGAGGCCCGGGCCAGCGTTGCGTTCCCCCATACTCTCCGACCCGAACCCCGCCCCCAGCACCTTGATCTCCCCACTTTTCGCGGGGTAATTCCTCCCACCCGAGGCTGGGCCAGTGGTCGCCAAAACCTTGGTCCGGACCTCTTGACTTGGACAGTAGGCGACGTGCTGGGATTCCAGGCTGCTCATTTCCCTCTTTGGGCCTCAGTTTCCCCATCTGTAAACGAGAAGTTGGGCCAAATGATCTCTAAGGACTCTTGGTCGCTGACGTTCAAGGATGTGGTTCTCTGACCCAGCTGTAGGCTTCCCTGAGGACGTGCATCCCGCTGGAGGAATCAGGTGGAACGAACTTGACAGACCTGGTTGGGATTCCCAGTGGCAAGGACCCGAGCAAGTTACCCAACCTCCCTGGGCTCGTATAAAATCGGGATGCGACAGAGCGTCTCCTCTGGGAGTTCTCGGGATACTATGAAGTATAAAGAGCCCAGTGCAGTGTAGGGTCAGTATTTGTTATTTTCTTTCCTTTGTCTGGTCCCCACATTTTCACCCTCGGAAGTGCCACCAGCTCCCTCAGTGTGAACGGTCGTTTCTCCCTCTGACCCTCCAGTCGGGATCTCCATCTGAGATCTTTCTGCCGGGTTTCCCTGGGAGGGATACTGGGGCAGGGGTTGGGATAGAGAGGGACTGGCGCCCTGATGTGGTGGTTGGACTCCACGGCTTCCCTTCTGCCCCTGATGATCCCTGGGTTGGTGGTGACCTACTCCTGGCAAGACACCTCCATCTGCGTGTCTTGCCAGCAACTGAGACTCAGCAGTTCTAAAGTCAGACTGGCCTGCCCCTCCCTGTCCGTCCGCTACACGGATGCCTTTCCATCTCCTCCACTCTAGGCGAGACATCCTGTGTCTCCCAGGGCTGTCACCGGCATTGCGCCACGCCCCTCCCACTCAGCCCGCTCCCAAGCTGCTTTGAGTCTGCCTCAGCAAGGATCTCACATCCCTTCATTTCGGAAGCCACCACTGGGTTCAAGTCTTTAATGTCTGTCACCTGGGCCATTGCTCTAGCTTCCTAACTGGTGTCCCTGCCTCTAGTGCCTCCTCCCAGTAACTCAGATATATCAACAGGATAAATGCCCCCCAAACACAACCAGGTCACCAGCCCCAAAGAGACTCCAAAGGGCTTCTCATTCCCCACTAAAGATACGCGCACTTCATGGGCCTGGGTTTCGGGCCCTCCCACATCTCCACAACCTGCCCCTGCCTCTTCTCCCTGGCCTCCTTCCTCCCTTCTCCTTTTCTAGCTTCTGTCCTCCAGCCTCATCTCACTCTGGACTCCAACAGACAGCGCTTGGAGTTTTCTACTTTGTTTGTTCTTCTCTGCCCAGAGGGTCTCCCTCACCTTGCCTACCTGTCGGGGTCCCTACTCTCTCCCCTCGTAAGGGCCGACTCGAACACTGCCCCGCCCCCCAAGCTGTTCTTACTGCCCTCCCCCTGCCCCCTCTAGAATTCTCCTTTTTCCTCTGTCCATGAGCCTGTCTTGTGGCCCTTACTGCTTCCTGCCACGAACCACAGTCGGCTCCTCATGCGCATGTGCCTGTCTCCCCAGTAGTACGCCCCTCGAAAGCAGGGACCCCCTCTCGCCTGGAGTGGAGTAGAGTGGAGTGGATGGGAAAGCGTAAGCTTGAAGTCATACATACCTGATCACCCCCTAGCTCCTCCACCTGTTAGCTGAGTGGAATGTTGCTTCCCTTTTCTCAGCCTGCATGGCCATCAGAAAAGTGGGGGCCCCAGGGCCCATCTGACAGAGTTATGGGGAGCCCATCCAGTCGCCTCACTTAAGGTCGGCGCTCAGCACCTAGCGTGGAATGAGACGGTGCACCCTCCCCCCCGCAGGGGCCGGCGAACTGTAATTCTGTGGCAGTGTAGGGATCTGTCAGTCACCTGCCACGTGCCACACGCCAGACTTCACGCTCTAGGGCATCTACAGCGGAAGGAAGTCCTTTTCCCCCTGGTGACTGTCCGGGCACATGGCTCGCTGCTGAGTCATGACTGGCTGTGAGATGTCACCAGGTGTGAGCGATTGTGAATGATATTTTTTGAAATAAGTCCCTGCTAACTCCAATTTGTGTTTGTGATAATGTCACTCTTAGTCTCGTGCGTTCAAATCTGTGCTCCTCGGGGGGAAGGGGGCAGTGGGCGACTGCGGGACCCGCTGTCCATGGCAAGAGCTGTTCCCGGGCAGAGCGAACAGCTGCGGTGGTCACGGCTGTCCGGTGTGCTTTGTGTCTCGACCAGGATATTTGGGGTTTCATCCACGTCTGTGTACAACATGAGCTGGTGTTATTTGTTACATCATATCATATGTAAAGAAAATGTCATTTTTTAACTTGAATCCCTCATTCGGTTGAATTTTCGTTTGTTGATCTGAGAGAGAAAGAAACATCGATGCGCTGCTCCCTTATTTATGCATTCTTCGGCTGCTCTCTGTCTGTCCCCTGACGGGGGCACCAAACCCACAACCTTGACCTTGGGGACGACCCTCTATCCAACTGATGTTCCTGGCCAGGACAAGAAACTGCCTTGATCTCTCCCTCCCTCCCTTCCCTCTTACACTCCCTCCCTCCTTCCTTCTTTCTCCCTTCCCCATGGTCCAAGGCACATTAGAAGTTCTCACTGAACCTCAGTAAAACGAGAAAAAATAAGGGCAGTTTCTTAAAAACCTTTGTGTATATATAAAAGGTAACTATCTTTTCTTAAGAAGGGCTGTCCTTTATTCTGCAACCATCTCCTTACTGTTAAAACTTTCCTTTGTAGTAGGTGATGGAGTTTTTAATGCTCTTAGAGAAATTTTCTGGTGTTAACCCTGTGTCTGCTTCCCCCATTTTAAACCGACCTGCAACGCCCAGGCCTCCCAGGCCCGGCTTCCTGACCCCAACGCTGCCATCCTGGATGCATGCCCCCAGGCCCTGGGGTCCTCTCCCCACACCTTACCAGCTTTGCTCTGCGGTGGCCAGGGCCAGAGGGTGCCCGTGCCGGGAAAGGCAGGAGGTTGGCCGAAGAGCGCAAGCTGTATCCCTGACATGGCTGTAAGCAGGCGCCGGCCCGGACTGGGGTGCGGAGGATGGAAGGTGTTTGTGTTTCTCTCTCGTCTCCTACTCACATGTGACGGGCGCAGGCACAAAGCTGGAGTCCGAAGACTCGATGTGGGTTCGGATCCTGGCTCTGCCATTGCTGCCCGGGCACCCCTGGGCCCGTGTCAGAGCCTCTCTGATCCCCAGGCGCCTTGTCTGAGAACTGGGGCTGGGGCTGCTTCCACAGTTTGTCACAGGACGGAATGAGGTGACGGGCGGGAAAGCACAGGGTGACCACACCACCGTGCGGCGCCGACTGCAGCAGCACGACACCACAGCTCGCATGGGGCGGGGACCCGGAGCGCAGCGGCTGGCTTGGCCGACTGCAAGGACGTTTCGTTGGCTGGTGTACGAGGAAGGGACTGGAGCTCCCTGTCTTACTGCGCCAATGACAAGAGTCTACGTTTACTGTAGAGTCTCTTCTTAGTCCCAGCGTCCAGATGAGAAAACTGAGGCTGACAGGGGTAGACGCCTGTCTGAGACAGACCAAGCAGTGAATTCAGATCTGCCTGTGGACCCGCACTCCCAATGGCACGACCTGCTCCGAGTGCGCCTGCCTCCCCCAGCTGCCTGGCGGCGGTCAAGGGTGCGGGCCAGGGTGTGCCAGGCATTGGGTGGTGGGGCCCCCCGGGGGGGGGGGGCTGGTGACACTTCAGGCCTCATTTCCCAGAATTCATTCATTTTCCCACATCCCCTAGCCCCCTTAAGGATTCTTCCCAAATGCTTCAGAAGCCGAGCAACAAAGGGTGACTGAGGTCAGTGCCATGGAAGAACAGTGGACAGTGGGACAGGAGACACTAGCTTTGACAAGGCCACGAGAGGCCAAGAACCCTGTGACTCTGGTCACCTAGGAGCAGCCGCCCCTCAGACGCAGGCGAGGCTGCGTGGGCTCGCAGAGGGGCCCACGTGCACCAGGGCAGGCTCTGGGGCGGGTCGAGCCCCGGCGCCCGCAGACGCGAGTGCCCCGGCCGCACGCACACCTGCATTATTAAAGGGCTCTCTTTTAGGCCTGCCGTGATCTCTCTGGCCCGGAGCTGTCAGGTGCACGCTCGTCTGCAGGGAAGATGGATACGGCCATTAACCCCGAGCTCTATTTTGGGCGGCACGCTCCCCGCAGGGTTTTGAGTCACGTCTGGATGACTGTAGCCGGATTCCAAGGGTACCGACCGCGTCACAAAAATTCTCCTTCCCCTCCGTGCTTGGAGCACCCCCAGTAACTGTTCCTTTTCGTTCTTGAAGTCCCATCCCCTCGGAGCCCCCGGAGCGCCCGGAGTGGTTACGAAAAGCTGTCCGCAACCATGGTCTTCAATAAACCTGGCCGGTGGCGTGGCAGTGTAGCAGTGGGGTGGTGATCGTTCAGGGAGCTTTACGTTTTCCAGAGGCTCACGTGCACACCCTGGGCGCCGCACCAGCTCCAGAAGCCAACACGGATTGTCCCGTTCCGCAGCGCAGGGAACCTGGCTCGGGTTAAACTCCCCGCCCAAGGCTGCAGAGCGAGGAAGAGGGAAGGAGCACTGCAGCCACAGAATCGCTGCTGCAGCCCAAACCCCCGGCCAGCAGGTCCTGCACCTTTTCTGCTCTGCAGGGCGATGCCCCGTCCCCCGGCACTCCAGTCGGCTTCTCCCCGTGGTCCCTGAAGAACTCACGGGCTTTGGTCCTGCTCCAGCTTCATCGGGGTCCCTGGTGCTGACAAAGAGTCGGAGCAGCCGTCGCAGACCCCGACCTCCCCGAGCACAGGCGCGCACATGGTTGCCTCTGCGTTCCCTTCCAGAAGCCCCACGCCGGCACTTTCCAGCCTGAGGACGAGTTGGCTCAGACTGAAATGTGTAGGTGGGAGGTGCCTAAGCAGCTGCTTCAGCATTTTAAGTTGTTCTCACTTGAAAATCTCCGGGGGCAAACAAACCCTAGAGCCCCTACCCTTTGACCATCCTGCCGGCGTAGCCACCACCTTCTGCGCGCTTGGTCGCGTGCAGGAGGAGCCATGCCGCGGACCTGGAGACGGCCTTGACGTCCACGAGCAACAAAGACGAGGTGGCTCACTGGACTCGGAGAGATCAGGAGCGTGAGCACAAAGTACAATGAGCTTCCTGTGCCTGGTGGTTTGCCAGCGTCTATATAGAGACAAACAAAAACTACTAATAACCGAATGGTGCGAGCGCCCAGAACTGATGAGATAAGAGGCGCCATCTGTCCACCGAGAAATCGGAAAATGCCAGCGTGGTGGGACGGCGGCGGCGTTGGCGGCAGGCTCCCCGCCTCGGGTGCGGGAGCTGGCCGAGTGGGATGGCGCTGAGGGCCCCTGAGGCGCCGGAGAGTAGGAGGGAGTGAGCGCGCAGCCAGAGGCGGCCCTCGGAGAGCTCCCTGCTGGGCCAACCCAGGTCGGGGCAGCCTGGGGACCGCAGACCCCGGAGGGGAGATCAGATAGCTGTCTCGCGGCAGGATCCCCACGAGCCACTCGAGAGGCCGCACACTCAGAGTCAGCTTGGTGGGTGCCTGCCGGGGGTCCGTGCCCCGAGGAGGCCTGGCAAAGGGGGAGGAGCGCCCACCCTGAAGCGGGGCCGCACTCACACCCCAGCCCGCCCGCTGCCCCCTCGCGGAGCAACCTCAGGGGGGCGGTGCAGGGGTTGCGTGCCTCTGTTGGCGCAGGACCCGCCAGAGCTCACGGGCTCACTGCAGCGGCCGGCGATCAGACACGCGAAGCGCTTTGGACAGTGGCCGGCGCCCTGCACACCTGGTGAATGCCACCTGTCCGTGCCCACCTGTTGGTCACTGTGCTGGGCGTCCCTGGGGTTCGGGGGCTGTGCCGTGAGAGGGACTTCGTTGGGAAATGCGGGAGGTGCTGGAGTAACATTTGTCTCTATTTGCTGGATGTGGATTGCTAAAGAGGGTTTAACAACACGGTGGTTTGTATTCATTTATATTAGCACTTCTTCTGAGATAAAAAAGGCCTTTGAATTATAGGATAAATTGGATTATAAGAGAAACACCAGGATTTCCAGCAACGCTCCTAGTCACCAAGCATCCAGGCCCATCTCTTCAGGAAAAGCCCCATCTGTTGCTAGATAACTGGATCTGGAAAGACAAAAATGTACACGTGCGCATCGGGCTTTATAACTTCCCAGTCAGAGCCACGTGCGTTCTCGCACTGGGTCCCCCCCGAGTGGGAGGGCCAGCCACGCGCCTGGCCCCGTGAGCCTGGCTCCCGTGCGTGGTCTCGACGGATTCCCGGGACAGCCTCGCGAGGCAGGCGCGATGGCCCACGTGGTGCTGCCGAGGAGTCGGGCCACGTGGCCCGAGGCCACGGCATGGGGGAGCGGCAGCGGGAGCACCCAGCCTCCGACTCCGGGCCAGCCAGGCAGGGCAGGGCGGCCCGAGGGGCGGTGGGCAGGGAGCGCTGGAGGGCCCGGCGTGGGGCCAACGGGGACACAGACAGAGCACCGCGGTCCCCGTTCCTGCTGCAGACCGGGGCCTGGGGCGGGAGGCACGTGCTCTCCCGTGAGCCCAGGACTGTGAGTCGCGGCCTGACGGGAACTTCAGTCACGCCTGCCGGAAACCAAGACCACGCACGTGGTGGGCAGGCAGAGAGACTCGGCGTGTTCCCGGCCAGCTCCCGGCCCCGGCGCCAGCCTGGCCAGCAGTCGGCGTCTGCCCGGCCGACGGCAGTGTGGGCTCGCGGCGCCGCTCGGGGGCGCGCTCCGCCGCCGGGCCCAGCACCCCGGGCTGACTCATCCGCCCGTCTGCAGGCTCGCTGGCCATTTGGCAAAGGATGCGGAGGAGTGAGGACCGGGAGGTGTCAAGTTGTTACTGAGACATTTCTAATTTGTGATGTGTGGATTTCAAGCCAACTCTTTTGTCCTGGTTTTTCCTGTTTTCTGCAGCACCCCGTGGGGAGAGAGATTTTCTGCTCCCGCCAAGCTGGCAGGGCCTGCTTCCTGAAGCGCCCGCGCGCGTCTTCCTCGCCAGCCCGGCAGCCCCGGGAAGCCCGCCGTCTCCTCCGCGGCCACAGTGGAGGGATCATGGGCGAGGTGGAGGGGAAGAAGGATGAGGCTGACTATAAGCGACTGCAGACCTTCCCGCTGGTCAGGGTGAGCCCGGAGAAGGGGGGCGGGGCGCCCCCCGGGGCCCACACACCAGAGCCCAGAGCGAGGCTGGTGAGCCGGTGGGAGGAAGTCCGCTGGGAGGAGCTGGGGACACGGAGGTCGGAAGTGGGCAGTGACCATTCTCTCATTCATGCGTCCATCCAGCAAGTGCGCATCCGGGCTGCTCACTGTGCACGGGCCCTGCTCCGGGCACCGCGGATGAGGCCCACGGGGGGCCTGGCCCACGTGAAGGAGGGGTTTAAACAGCGGTGTCAGAGTGGGTTTATGGGGAAAAGCAAGGTCTCTTCTCAGCACCTGAGCGAGGCTGTCAGGTGGGCTGTTGGATGTAGTCGCCTGGAGCCCCAAACTGATAACACTGGGATGAAATCGTGGGGCCCCTCCCCACACATAAGATAAGTAAACCCATGGAACAGGCCGGGACCTCCTGGAGAGCAGACGGCTGGAGGAGAGGAGGGGGTGGGGACAGGCCCAGGGCCCTGCAGCCCTGGGACTGGGAGGCACCCAGCAAAGTGGGCTGCGGAGCCGCAGGCGGAGAGGCAGGTTGGAAACCGTGGGCCGTTGAGAGCTGCCGGGCCGTCTCTTCCGGCTTCTGGGCTGCGGCCCAGCTGTGCTCTGGGGCTGCTGGTCGACCACTGCCTGGGCTGGCGCTCTTCCCCACGTCCGCGGGCTGGCACGTGGTGCTGGTGAAGCTTCGTGCCCTCGGGGAACGGCCTGGGCCTTGGAGTCCACGGGGCTCCGCTCGAGCCCAGGCCACAGTTCCCAGCCGCACTCCCTGAGTGAGGAGCTGGGTCACCTCCCTGGGCTCCGCCCAGGGCCTTGCCGGGCACACGCCCAGTGTCCGGGCCTTAAGCTCGGCACCAAGAGGCCAGCCCAGAGACCAGGCCGTGGGCTGAGCCCCTGTCCGTGTGTCGCCCCGCCCTGTCCCCAGCACTCGGACATGCCGGAGGAGATGCGGGTGGAGACCATGGAGCTGTGTGTCACGGCCTGTGAGAAATTCTCCAACAACAACGAGGTATTGCCCCTGGTCAGGCAGCCCCTCGGGCCCGTGGGGAACCCCGTGGGTAAAGCAAGCACCCCGGGCCCCCGCAGCCAGCGCAGAGTGCCCCGCTGGGGCCAGGCCAGCACCATCCCTGGGAGCGTCTGTGGCCTGGAGAAGGCCAGCGAGGGAAGAGGCTGGCGCTGTTGCGGGCGCTGACCTGGTGCCCACGCCCAGCCTGGAGGGACAGAAGCCAGAGGGGTCTTGGTGACGCCCCGCCCCTGTGCCCTGTCCCAGGCGGGCGGCTGAGTAGGGCGCCTTTCCCTGGGCCCCGTGCCAGCGGAGCACAGGCCCACCGGCACTCATGCATGCGTTCATCCACCCACCCATCCGGAGAGACCTCAGGCGCCGTCTCTGCGCCAGGCGCCGTCCTGGGGACTGGGGTAGGGCCGCGGGTGTCAGCTCGGGGGTCCAGGGGTCCCAGCCGTCAGTCCAGCGGTGAGTGAGAAGGAGGTCGGCGCCACGGCAGCCGGCGGGGAGGCAGACCCTGGCCCGTGAGAGCCCGGGCTTTGGGCCAGCCGGGCCGAGTTCCGATCCCACCCCCAGCCCTTCCCAGCTCTCTACCCTTCGATGAGCAATTTCTCGTCTCCGAGCCCCTTTCCTATCGGTACAAGGGGTGGGGGTGCCGCGCCCTCAGTGGGCGGTGCTGAGGGTGTGTGTGCTGAGGGCGTGCGGACAGAGTGCTCAGGGGCACCTGGCACTGGGGGGAGGGGGGAGCTGCTGGTGCATGGCAGGTGCCCGAGCCGGGGACCTGTCCCACGGGGACCCGGGCCTCTGCCCTTCCCCCGACCTCTTCCGGAAAGAAGCTTCTCAAAGGAGCATGTTGGGGAAGGGGTGGGGCTGTCGCCCTGACTGGGGGAAGCAGTGCAGCTTCTCTCCTGGGAGCTTAGGGAACCGTCAGGGAACAGCCTTTCTGTTCCCCGAGGACAACCGGACACCCGGACACCCGCAGTGACAGTGACAATCCTATTCAGTCCTCAAAGGGCTTTTGGAGATGCGACTTCCTTCAGTCCTGGGAACAGCCCGGCCGGCACGGAAACGGGGAACAGGCGTTAAGTGGCGGGCGGAGCTGGGATCCCACCTGCTCTGCCCCGCCCCCCAGACGGTGTCCGTCTGGCCCGTGAGGTGGCGTCTGCTTCCCGGGCCCCTGTGCGGTGGCCCCTGGCAGGGACCCCCCCTCCCCGCCCCCGTACCCCCCCCCCAGCGGCCCGGGGAGCAGGAGAACAGCGAGGGCGGGTCAGCAGGCCTTGCTCCCACCCAGGCTGCTGCTTCCTGCAGAGGGGGCTGACGCCGCACTCCCCCCACACACGCCCCAGGAGTGCCCCTCTGTTCCAGAGCGCCGCCAAGATGATCAAGGAGACCATGGACAAGAAGTTCGGCTCCTCCTGGCACGTGGTGATCGGCGAAGGCTTCGGCTTCGAGATCACGCACGAGGTGAAGAACCTCCTCTACCTGTACTTCGGGGGCACCCTGGCCGTGTGCGTCTGGAAGTGCTCCTGACACCGCCTGGCCCCCGGCCCCCGGCCCCCGCCCGCAGGGCCTGTCCCTGCCCGTCATCGTCGTCATCGGGCTGGGGGCAGCCCCAGGCAGGCCCTCGGCTCCTGAAGGAGGAGGAGAGCATGGGGTCTTCCTTTCGTCCCGTGTGCCCGTGTCCTGAGCCGTGCCCGGCGTGTGAACTTGCTGGCGCCTCTCCCCCAGGCTCCCCGCCGCCCCCCTCCGAGTCCGGGGTGCGCGGGGCGGCGGGCAGTGGTCTCCGTGCGGGAAGGGCAGGGAGATGCAACAGGGTAGCGGGAGGGCGGGGAGGTGGGACCTTCCTCCCAAGGACACGCCAGCTCCGCCCGTCTCAGGGGCCACGTCCCCTCGCACCTGGAAGCCCCCTGCCCTTCCCCCCCAGCTCTGCCGGCAGAGGCCCCCTGTCCTCGCCCTGACCGACCATATGCAAAGGCCCCAAGAAGGAGCCTGTCCTCCCCAGGGGCACCGGCAGCTTCTCCCCTGTCCTCCGGAGAGGTGGTGAGTGACGCCCAGAGCCCCGCCCCCACCCCCGCCGCCGCCGCCACCGCCGGGCTTCGTGAACCTTCTCCGCTGCCTCCACCGCGCAGCTGGTGTCCAGTGGCCGAGGGTGTGGGGGCCGCCGCTGCCGCGCAGCCTCTGGAGGTGCCACGGAGCCTCGGGGAGCCGCCGGGCCAGGGGCGCGCTCGCCGAGAGGCCTGTCTGAGCAGGGAACCTGGCCTGCCAGCACTTCTCATCAGGGACCGCATGCTGCTTTGTACTCCTGTCTCTGCTGGGTTTTCTATGTCCTTTCCGCGTGGGGGAAGCGTTTTAGTAGAAGGGTGAAGCCTATTTTACATAGCGGTCTAATTTATATAAACGTCATGGTTTTTACAATTAAAATGGCCAAAAACCGACTCGGTCTGTAGCCTCTGGAGGCTGGGGAGAGCCGTGATCGGGATCCCCGGGCTGTGGTGTCCCCGGGGGCCCAGAGTGGCGCCTGGTCAGAGAGCGAGGCTGCTGGGAACCCCGGGCCCGGCCAGGACGGGGCCCTGTGCACACGCCCCGGGACAGCCTCGGCGGCCAGACTGAGCCGCTACCCTGAAGACGTGTTTAGTCTCACGTAACTGAGTTCAGTTCAAAGGTGTTTGTCCCACAGCGACTGAGTGCCAGGCCCCCGGGGGGTGGGCGCAAGGAGGGAAGAGCCAGCGACCCGCCCTCCGCGAGCTCCCGGCAGACGGGGGAGGGACACCGATGACGGGAAGTGGCAATGGACGTGATGAACGCCGGGACCGGGCGTCCTGGGAGGAGGCAGGAGGGGCTTCACGCACAGCACAGCCGAGGGGGCAGATGACGGCCCCGGGCAGGGTGGGCCTCGCCGGGGGAAGGGGGCTGCAGACTGAGGCACGGGGAGTGAGTGCAGGGGCGGGAGTGACCTGCAGGCGAGGGGCCCACGAGGCAGGACCACGCAGCCCCTTCGGCCGGGGGCACTGGCCGCTGGGTCCCAGTCTCGGGCCCGAGAACGCTGGACGTGGGCAGAGCTGGGGCACCTGTCCTCCTCCCCTGCCCGCCTTCCTCACACCCGAGGTCCGTCTCCTCGGATGGCCCGTGCAGGGTGACCCGGGAGTCCTGGGCCCTGGCCCAGTGATGCCTCTGTGAGGCTGAGTCCCAGGGTAATGAGACCTGCTGGCCCGCTGAAGCTTGCCCGGACGGACGGAGACCGGGGTGGCCCAGCGGGGGAGAGTCCCATGGGCTCACGGAGGACTGAGTGCTCGCTGGAGTGGCTGCTACGTGCGGGCCAGGCCGAGGGCGGCGGGGCAGACCAGAAAAGACGTCGATGTCACCGCCTCACAGCTGACCATCGGTCAGGCGGCTTGTGGGACCTAAGCCCTCTGGGACTCAAGGCCGGGAGACGGGGAGGCGAGGTGGCCAGCTCCTTGACCTGGCGCCTGCGCTGGCCAAGCCCTGCGCCCCTCCGGGTGCTACCTGAGCAGCGGGCGAGGTGCGGATGGGAATGCGGGGAGAGGGGGGCGAGGCCTGGAGCACCCATGGATGTTCTGCCTGCTTCGTGGCTCTTCTCTAATCTGCCTCTCGCGTGGTGCCGGGAGGCGAGTCCGGGCGGCAGGCACATGGGCTCCGAGGTCCAGAAATGGGGCTCAGGCCCAGCCCTGCGCTTCCTCCCCTCAGCGCCCTGCTTGCCTGTCTGCGGGATGGGGTGAAAAGCCCAGCCTCCCGGGCTGTAGGGAGGCCCCGGCCTGTGTCTGGCAGGCAAGGCCCCGGTGCAGGCCATCCCGCCCCATCCTTACTGCCCACCCTGGACGTGCTGCTCTCCTATCTACTGTGCGGGGGGGCGGGGGGGGCGGGGGGGTGCCAACCCCCAGCTCCCTCAGGACCGGGTGGAAGTTCAGCGCGGCCAGGCTGGTAGAGGGCGGGCGAGCGGACATGTCCTAGCCAGCATGCGGGACAGCGGTGCCCCGTCCCCACCTCCCCTGCCCGACCCCCGCCCCCACCCCTGCTCCGGGAGGGCCAGAGGGCGGCGGCGTGCGAGCTGTCGGCCCGGCCAGGTGACCGGGACCCTGGCAGCTGTGCTTTCCAGGGGCTTCTTTCCTCGGTCTCGGTGGCTTGGCTTCCCTCCCGCCCGTCCCTGAGGCCTACGCCAGCCGAAGGCGCCCGGCCCTCCTCCGGGGCCACCCCAGCTCGCAGCCCGTGGTCCGGCGGGCCTGCTGACGGAGGCCTGCAAAGGCAGGGGACCAAGCAGCGCAGACGGCACCACCTTCGACGGCACGTGGCCTGCGGTCTGCTGAGGGAGACGGACCCAGGGACAGCACAGCAGGATGCGTTGAAGCCATCTGCTCGGAGAAGGGAGAGGGTGGAGTGGGGGTTCAGGGGATGGGGGTTCACAGAAGGGAGCCTCACTGCACAGGGCACGGGGGGGGGAGGGGAGGGGGGGTGCAGGGGAGGCACCGTCAGGTTGAGGGGCGACGGCCCCTGCGGGGGAAATGGTGCAGGGAGAGGGAAGGGGTTGGGAGTGAAGGTCACGAGAGGGCGCAGGGCGGGCCGAAGGCGAAGAGTTCGCTGGGGTTGAGGAGGAGGAAATGCCTTTCGCAGGCACTGGGCTCCCTCCCTCATGGCCACGCTGTCCTCTGTTTTCGGCAGACCTCCAAGGTGGTGGCCACTGTGCCCGTGTACAAACAGAGAGAGCGAGGCTGGAAGACGAGGCGTCTTGCCCAGGGTCCGTCTAGGGAGCGACCAGGGCCTGGCCCCAAACCCGGGCTGGCCAGCCTCCAGGGCCCCGGGCTTTCCTGGCACAGCTGCCTCTGTGGGTCTTCTGTTTACCCGCGCCCCGCCGTGAGCTGGGGTCCCCGCGGCCCGTCCCTGGGAGGGCAGTGGGCCCCAGCCAGGCCAGAGGGATCCCCCCTTGGGGGCTGCACAGATGCCAGAACCCTAGGCCTCACCAGAGGGGGGTCAGCGAGGCGGTCAGAGTGAGAAGGTGAAGGGCGAGGACGGGTCACGGGCACCCGGCAGCCAGGCCTGTGGGCGCGCTGCCAAGGGGGCGGGCACCGCTGAAGCTCCCGGCGGGGCCCCTGGAGAAGCCTGCGGGTGGATATGTAATGTCTTGGAGTGATGCAGAGAAGCTCCGGAGTCCTGCTCACCCTGCGTCCTCTTCCAGGGAACAGCCTACGGGCAGGCAGGGGTGCGTCCCCTTGGGTCGTGGGGCCCCAGCCCCCACCGGCGACCACCCCGCCCCCAGCAGAAGTGACTGAGCTGTGAAGCCAGGCTCCTCGGGAACGGGGAGCAGTGCCCTGGCCAGTGAGGCTCAGGGGGTTGAGCTCCAGTTCGATTCCCAGTCAGGGCACCTGCCCGGGGTGCAGGCCAGGTCCCCAGCTGGGGGTGTGCGAGAGGCAACTGACCACGTATCTGTTGCAGATTGGTGTCTCTCTCCCTCCTTTGCTCCTCTCTCCTCTCTCTAAAGTAAATGAATAAAAGCTTAAAAAACAAAAGAACAGGAAGCAGGCAGCATCTGGTTATGTCCTTCAGACCCCTCCCCGAGTTTGGGGGGTGGGGCGGTTAGAAGTTTAGCCTGAGCCAACCCCCTGCCCTGTTTCCCTTTTGTTCCTCTCGCTGCATATTTAGAGCGACTGCTTCCCACTGCCAGCTGCTGTCGTTCATCCTTAGAAAGGCGGGGGCGGCGGCTTGGGAGGAGAGCAGGAGGCAGGAGCTCTGAATTAGCATTAATAGTGTTTTCAGGCCACGCTGGCCAGGCAGCTCTGCTGGCGAGAGCATCGCCCTGAGAGGCCACGGCTGTGGGTTCGGTCCCCGTCAGGGCACACACGAGACTCAACCGATGACTGCATCCATATGTGAAACAACAAATTGATGTTTCTCTAAAATCAATACATTAAAAGGTTTTAATAATATTTCCTAACTATTGGGTGTCCCAAGTGTGCCAGGCTCTTCGCTGAGCATTCTCCACTCTCTGTCTCATGTACCCCTACACCCACCCAGTGAGGAGATCGCTGAGGCCCCGAGAGGCTGAGCTCCAGGCCACACAGCAGCGAAGTGGCGGAGCCAGGACCCTGCAGGGGCCAGGCCTGCGACGCCAGCGCCCCAGCTCTGCAACCTCCCCGGAGGTCAGCCCGCCGGCTGGGACAGGCCACACTGCTTCTTGGTCTTCTCAGTGTCCTCACCTGCCAAGCAGGGTTCGAAGCCCCTGCCCTGCCTCCTTCCCAAGGTTGCTCATGGGGCACTGGGGAGATGGTGGCTGCACTTGTGGAGGTGCTTTAGAGTTGGAAGGACATGGGTCAGGGTCAGTCTGGGGAGCCATCCGCCAGCCTCGGGGATGGTCAAATGGACGGATAACAGTCAGATGAACAGGTAGATGATGGATGGATGGGAGGATGGATGGATGGATGATGGATGGATGGGAGGATGGATGGAGGATGGATGAGAGGTTGGATGGATGGTGGATAGATGATGGATGGATGGGAGGATGGATGGGGGATGGATGGATGATGGATGGGGGATGGATGGCAGGATGGGGGATGGATGGGGGGATGGATGGGGGATGGATGATAGATGATGGAAAGGGGATGGGATGAAGGATGGATGATGGATGGATGGGAGGATGGATGATAGATGATGGAAAGGGGATGGGGGATGGATGATGGATGGGTGGGGGATGGATGGGAGGATGGATGGGAGGATGGATGGATGGATGAAGGATGGATGGGATGAAGGATGGATGATGGATGGATGGAGGATGGATGAGAGGTTGGATGGAGGATGGATGGATGGGGGATGGATGAGGGATAGATGAAGGATGGATGATGGATGGATGGATGATGGATGGATGATAGATGATGGAAAGGGGATGAAGGATAGATGAAGGATGGATGAAGGATGGATGATGGAGGAGTGGTAAATGTCTTCTCCAGGAAGCTTCGAGCAACAGGGCACTCGAGGCAGGCGCCTCGGCAGCGACTGAGTCAGGGAATGAACCTTGTCCCTTGACTTCTGAAGCACTCCGCCACTTTTCCAGGCCACGCACAGAAGACCTCAGGTCTGTCTGCGACTCACAAAGGCACTTCCCTTCGACCTGGCCCATGAGAAAAGGCGCGAGTCCAGAAGCGGCTCGAGGGGGTTCCCCAGGGTGAGGGCGCATGGCTGAAGGGCAGCGAGGCAGGAAGAGCGTGAGGCTCGCAGTCAGCCCGAGTCCCAACGCCAGCCCCACCGGCCTGGCTGGCCACGCGACCTTGAGCGAGTGCCTGCATCCCCTGAGCCCCCTCCTCCTTGTGGGTGGGTGGGGAGACGCCCTTGCACTCCTACTGCAGAGGTGGGGGGCCGGGGGTGGGGGGGCCAGGGTGAGGCGAGGTCAGGAGGGTCACGGTTAGCTCCTGTAGCTGGAGCCTCTGCCGGA